GCTGCAGGCGGCCCAGTGTTTCGTTGGTTCGAATCCTGGGCGCGGACATGACACTGCTCATCAAACCACGCTGAGGCAGCATCCCACATGCCACAACTAGAAGGACCCACATCGAAGAATATACAACTATGTACCGGGGGGCTTTGGGGAGAAAAAGGAAAAAATAAAATCTTTTAAAAAAAAAAAGAAGAATGTGTTTTGAGTACTCAGGAGAAGTACAACCCAAGCAAGTGGGCGGTCAGAGCAGGATTCGCAAAGGAGAGGGAGACAGTTGAGCTGGTCCTGAGGGGAGTAAGTGAGCACCAGAGGGGATGAGGACATTCCAGCTGGAGGAACAGGGAGTGCAGACTGAGATGCTGGGGTGACATATGGGCTACTGGGGGAAACACTGGGGTTCACAATGGAGAGGCCCAGATGTGAGACCGGAAAGGAACTTGGGGTCAGGTCACAAAAGACTTGAAGACTAGCTTATGGATTGGGGCTTTATCTTGAGGCACCAGCCTGTGTGAGGCCCTCAAAAATGAGACCTTCCTGTCCGCCATGTTGACCGGCACATGGTGGTGCTTAGTAAACCAGCTGATTGGTTGATAAAAGCATTTGTCAAAACTTCTCCACAACGCCAGACCGTATATTGTGGTCATTTCTGTTAAAGCCCAGCCCTGCCACAGCAGAGACAATTCTCTTTCTGTCCTCAATTTCCTCCAAGCTGGGACTTCACTGCTTCGGTCTACAGATGGTGCTCCTATCTCTGGGATGTGCTGGGCCGAGAATTTCTGCCAGCCCCCTGGGCTTCTTATGAAATCTGAGATTCAGGCAAGGCCCGTTTCCTGACACAAGCCTCAGTCACTCCCGCTCTCTGAATCCCTCCCTGCCTTCCCACCACGCACCACAGCCAGAGGGGTCTGCAGCCAAGTTGGACGATCAGCTTCCAATGCTCCAAACCCTGGGAGACCAGGGGCCTGGACCAGGCCTGCAGGAGGCCAGGGGTTCACCCTCACCCTTGGGAGGAGAACTTCCCGAGTGGATAGCCATGGATAGCTTTAATAACTCCGGGCCTGCTCACAGACATAGACTCTCAGATTTATTTTGCTATTTATAGTCACTTGTAAATAAATAACACATTTGATTGGAGGTTGTTGACTTGGTTCTTGCTGCCCACCAAGGGCCTGGGAAGCCCACTAGGGCGTGACTACTCTGGGCATTCTACAAAGAAGCTTGATTGCTCTTCCATCCTGGTCTACAGCATCCTTTAGCCCTGAGGCCTGTTGCTTCCTCTTGTAGCCTCGCTCAGAGCTGGCTGAGGCCTCACTGCCTTCCTTCATCCCAGAGCCTCTAAGAGGAGGCAGAAGACACTCTAGCATCTTCCACTATCTCAGAATCATAGTATTTCAGAATCGAAAATTTCTTTAAGCCTATTAAAATCCAAGAATATTCAGGGTGTAAATTGTGAGAAAGTTGGAATTCTAAGCTATCTTAAACTTAGAAATATGAAGTCCTAAAATATTAAATAAGAATATTAGGAAGTGAGGAGCTCAGCTTGCGCCTAGGCCTCTGTCCACCACTGAGGTTTAGACAAAGTTGATCTAGCCAGTTGGTGTGTGTGAGTGGAGTGGGGTTGGCCAACTGAAGCTCAGTAGTAGACAGGTAAACCTGGCCGGAGAGAGGGGAAGGGTAGTTCACTTAATTTCTTCATTGTCCTTCATATTTCCATGTACTAAATAGCCCAGCGAGAGGCACAGAAGGTGCTGTCTTCTCACTGACCAAGTGTGTTCACCGGGACGCGTGAGATCCTATCACGAACTTGGGGCATGTGGAGCGGGAGCCCGGGAAAATCTGAGTTATTACCATTATGTAACCTCATTTATTTCCTGGAGAAATTCAAGTTATACTTAGAATTCTAGACTCTTATGGCTTTAGAATATAAGACTCCTAGCCTTCTAGAATTTTAGTTTTCCAGATGTTTAGACTAGAATCTGGAATATTAATGATATAGACTACTAGAATCTTGGAATCCTAGAATTCTGGTACCATAGCTTGAAAGGAGAGAATGTATGTGGTTCAGTCTCTTTCATAGTGGAGTCGATTGGGGTTTGGGGACAGTCCGGGCTAATGAGGACCCATTGGAGGCTATTGCAGCTTTTCTTGAGTATCATGACAGCCAAGGCTTGAGCTGGGCACAGCGAGAGATGAGGGAGGGAAAAGCAGCAGCACCCCGTTACCGTTAACAGTAGATGTATAAACAGGACCGCAAGTTAATGCTTCTTGGGGCAGCTCACATTAAAATTAAACAAGATGCCCAACCCAGTGTGCTGACTTTAAGCTGAGGAGACATAGTCTGGAGAAGGGAAGTGATTTGTCCGGTTTGGAACAACGTGTTAGCGGCAGATCAGATCTGGACACGAGTCAGTGTGTTCGGATCTCCAGCCGGTTGTTTCCCTTCCCCTGGTCTGCCTCTCCTGGACCGAGGTCACTCCTTTCGTTCCTTTTACAGCTTTATGGGAAGCAGTGAGTGTATCACTGGGCTATTTAGTAAATGGAAATATAAAGGACGATGGAGAAAGGAAATGGACTGTGTGATGGGAGCTCTGGACAAATTCACCAGCTAATTCAGGGCAAGGCTGTGGGTTTTACCCTTCTGTGGCCTGTTCAGACCAAGTCCTGTTCTTCTACTTTTTTTTTTTAAAGATTGGCACCTGAGCTAACAACTGTTGCCAATCTTCTTCTTTTGTTTTTTCCTTCCTCTTCTCCCCAAAGGCCCCAGTATATAGTTGTATATTTTAGTTGTGGGTCCTTCTAGTTGTGGCATGTGGGATGCTGCCTCACCATGGCCTGATGAGCAGTGCCATGTCCGCTCCCAGGATCTGAACCTGTGAAACCCTGGGCCACCGAAGCAGAGGACATGAACTTAACCACTCGGCCGTGGGGCTGGCCCTGACCAAATCCGGTTCCTGATCAGCCAAACCTGGACCTTGGTCACAAAGCAAAGCCTCAGTCTGGTCACAGGCCAGCTCTTGACCTTGGCCAAAACTTGAGCCTTGACTTCAACAACAAAATAAGATAAAGTATTTAGTGAGAAAATTAGAACACAGGCCATGTTTTGTACAGAGCAGAATACAGACCATTTTCTGCACTGAGTGAATGTCCTGAGTTGGGAAAAGACAGTGGGCGCTGGAGTTCCCCAGAGCAGAGCCTCCTGGTTTCAGAGATGGGGGTTTCCCAGAAGAAGACTTTTCTTCCAAGCAAACTTCAGATTTTTCTGCCCCTGTGGCCGAGAAGTGACTTATCTGACTGTGAATTTGGGCAGACATTCTGGGCTTGTGGAGCTCAGTTCTGCTATTTTCTTTATCTTGGGAGGTGTCTACTCACAGGAAGTGACTGTCTGCTGCTCTATTTGGGTCCGGCCCTTGTAGGCAGGGGCTGGCTCCTGGTCTAGTGTGCTCTGCCTGGTTGGGTAAGTCTGTCTACTTATGGGGATCATTTAGCAATATTGTACCAGTCAGGAGAGGCTAACTTTTGAACCAATAGCTCTCAAATTGCACTGGCTTTAGGCAGTAAAACTTGGGTTTCCTGCTCATGTTACTGAAAAATATGGGAAGGGGGCTCTGCTCCGTGAAGTCATTCAGGATCCAAGTTCCTTCCATGATGTGGCTTTGGCATCTTCTAGAGCAGTGGCTCCCAGCCAGGGATGATTTCGGCCCCCAGGGGACATTTGGAAGTGTCTGGAGACATTTTTGTGGTCACATTGGCAAGTGGGGATGCTTTTGGCATCTAGTGGGTAGAGACCAGAGATGCCTCTAAATATCCTACAATGCACAGGTCAGCCCCTGCAACAAAGAATTATCTGACCTAAGATGCCAATAGTGCTGAGGTTGAAAAATCCTGTTCTAGGGCCTTCTTGGGGCACGCCACCAGCAGAGGAAGAAAGACAGGGGAATAGAGTTACACGTGGGAAGAATTGATGAGTCTTGCCTGGAAGTGATGTACAGTATTTCTGCCCACAGTGCACTGGCGAGAACTGTCACATGACCACACCCAACAGTGAACGAGGCTGGGAAATGTAGTGTAGCTGATGCCCAGGAAGAAGGGGAAGTGGATTTGCTGAGCATCTATCCAGTATCTTCCATTAGACTCATTTTTCTCCAACTTTAACCAATAAAGCCTCTATCTATAGTCTCTTTTATTTCTTAATCATTTGAATCGAATCAACCATGGATTCAAAAACTGACTACAACAAACTGCTCTCCCTCTTTGGTCCTCTGTCTGCTAATCCACCACTTGGAGGTAAAAGAACTGACTCCGCAGGGCTGCTATGAGGCTTTCTCCTGCTCTGTCTTTACCTACATTCTGAGAGGTGACCCCTCCTTCTGCCCCTCAGAAGAAAATTCTGAGGCACCCCATTCCAGAAAATGAAATTTCATCCTGATCACAAAACTCAGTTCTCCAAGAGAGAAGGAAGAAGTTTGCAAGTTTCAAGGGCTAGCCTGGTGATGTACTGGTTAAGTTTGTGTGCTCCGCTTCAGTGGCCCAGGGTTCGTGGGTTCAGATCCCGGGCGCAGACCTAGCACTGCTCCTCAAGCCACGCTGTGGGGGCATCCCACATCAAATAGAGGAAGATTGGGATAGATGTTAGCTCAGCAACAATCTTCCTCACACACACACACACACACACACACACAAAGCAGTTTCAATTTCCAAGGTTACTAAAAGCAAGATTCTGAGAAATCTCTCAGTTACTTCGAAATTTCCTTTGAAAATGAAAATAACTGCAGAAAAGGACCCTTGAGTGAGAGGTGGGACCCTCCACTCCTAGTTTCAGTCCTGCCCCTCTGTCTGTGTAGCCCTGGATACGTTCCCTCTCTGGGCCTTAGCATCACTGTTGTATAGTTGGCAGGTGACTTTCCTTCTAGATCTAAGGTTCATTGTGAGCTTATCTGCCCCTCGTATTTCTCTCTCTAGGCCCCTCCCACTAAGCCAACCCCTTTCTTGGCATTGGTATCCACTTGAAGAATGAGATCTTGTTTATAAAGGAAGGGGACAGCAGACGTGGGTAGTTTAATGACCATCTCCCCTCCTGGGGAGCCCAGTTGGCAGAGGGAGATCCTCAGGAGGTTGTCATAAATAACCAGGCCCTCATGCTCACTTCCTCAGAAGGAAGTCTCAGTAACGATTGATGTGGTCTGTTTGGGCAAAGTTGGGAGCCCAGAATAACGCTCCCTGGCAGATCTGCTTGTAAAGTTTCACATTAACCCCAGCCCGCCTGGGAGCCAGGCCCTCGGACATCCTTGCAAGGCCTGCTCAAGAATCTCAAGAAGAGACAGAATTTCAGGTGAGGGGAGAAGTGAGAGGTCAGGCTGTGTGCACGCAGAGTGAAGGATAGACTCCAGATACGGTTCAGAGAGAAAGCCTTCTAGAGTTTCCTGTGGGATCCTTACGAGGATTTTCTTCCTCATTCTTCTCTCTCAGAACTTCCAGAACAAGACTCAGCATATGGCAGGCATCATTAAAACCTACGTGAATCGACATGACAGGTACATGATTGGAATACTTAAATTGCTTTTGGTCAAGGCTAAACAATTGTGTGTTAGAAAGAACACGTAGTGGGAAAACATCAGACATGAAAGACTTGTCTGTTCTCCGTCCTCAGCAACGCTGAAGCTGAAAGGAGGAGCCGAAGAGGATGGAAGAATGTGGGGGAAGAGCCTGAGACAAAACTCTGCTGACTTCAAGATTTGGCTGACCCACGTCTTAATCCCCCCAAGAGAGACGTCATTAAAGGCTTGTTGACTTAGCTCTATGTGCAGCCTGAAGCTTTCTGAGCTTCCCCACCCACTCCCCGTCCTCCTCCTCTCCCTGGCCTGGGAGAAACAGTCAGGCTTCCTCCGTCATGCAGCTTCTCCTCCGGACTTTTCCATTTGAGCAAGAGATTGCCCTGAAGCTGCTAACAATTGGGATCAGAGACCTCCTTGCCAGGTAAATAAGCATCCTAGCCAAACCCAGTCTTCACTGCAGCTTTGAAGCACCCCGCCCCCAAGTCTGCACAAGAAGACAAGTCAGGAGAGGGGGAAATTTGTCATAATCTTTGTGGGAAGTGCAATGTTTATAGAGAGGGTACTTGCAACCCCCCGCCTTCTCCCTCACCTAATCTAAGTGAGAGAGGAGGTTCCAAGAGAGAACCCCTGGAGGCTGGGAGTGCCTACAGGCAGAGGGGCCTGGCAGTTCACTGTCTGGAGAGAGGCTTGCTGCAGTGCTGAATCTGCAGGCCCATCCCAGACCTGCTGTTGGAGCACAGCAGAACATGAGAGAAAGTTCTAGGAAGAGCTCGACTTCTGTCTACTGGAATGTGAGGGTGCACATGAGCCAGAGATGGATACTTGCTTTGTTTTTTAAATAGCTTTATTGAGGTATAGTTGAGCCACCGCACACATTGAAAGTGTACAATTTCAGCAGTGTTGACACATGCGTACACTCATGAAACCATCACCACAACGAAGAGAGTGAGTAGATCTGTCATCCCCAAGTTCTCGTTGTAAAAGTTTGCCCCTTTGTAAATTACTCCCATCATCCCATCCCATCCCCAGTATCCCCAGGCAGCCGTCGATGTGCTGGTCCTGTAGGATCAGTCTGAATTTGCTACAGTTTTATGTAAGTGGAAGCATACAGTACATACTCTTTTTTGTCTGGCTTCTTTCACTTAGTGTAAATATTTTGAGATTCATCCATGTTGCTGCCTGTATCACTCGTTCATTCTTCCTTGTTGCTGAGCAGCATTCCACTGTATGTATATATAGCAATTTATTTATCCATTCACCAGTCAATGGAACTTTGGGTTGTTTCCATTTTGGGGCTATTCCAAATAAAGCTGCTATGTCCATTCATGTACAAGTCTTTGTACAGACATAGGCTTTCCTATGTCCTCAGTGGAACGGTTAGATCATATGGTAGCTGTATCTTTTAAGAAACAGCCAGGGGCTGGCCCCATGGCCTAGTGGTTAAGGTCAAGCACTCTGCTTCAGTGGCCCAGGGCCTCGCTGGTTTGGATCCTGGGCACGGACATGACACTGCTCATCAAGCTATGCCGAGGCGGCATCCCACATAGCATAACCAGAGGGACCTACAACTAGAATATACAACTATGCACTGTGGGGCTTTGGGGAGAAGAAGAAGGAGAAAAAAAAAGAAGATTGGCGACAGGTGTTAGCTCAGGTGCCAATCTTAAAAAAAAAGGAAACAGCCATACTGTTTTCTGAAATGGTCCTGCCATTTTCCACTCCCACCAGCAGTGTACGAAAGTTCCAGTTCCTCCATGTCCTCGCCAACTCTTGGCGTGATCAGTCTTGAAATTATAGCCATTTTCCTGAATGCGTAGTGGTATCACACAGCAGTTTTAAAATGACTAATGGTGATGATCACTTTTTCGTGTGTTTATTTACCATGCATATATCTTCTTTGGTGAAATGTCTTTTCAAATATTTTTTCCATTTTTTATTGATTTCTTGTTTTCTTTTTATTAAATTTTGAGAGTTTTTAAAATGGATTTTGGATACAAGTCGTTTATCAACCATAAGCTCTGCAAATATTTTCACCTAGTCTGTAGCTGACCTTTTCATTCCCTTACGTGTCTTTTGAGGTGCAGAAGTTTTAAATTTTGAAAAAGTCTTAAATCAAAATTTTCTTTTATGGGTTGTCCTTTGATGTTGAATCTAAAAAAATTTACCTAACCTAAGGTCACACAGATTGTCTCCTATATTTTCTTCTCAAAAATATTATAGGTTTATGATCTACGTTTAAGTCTCTGATGCATTTTGAGTTAATCTTTTGTCTATGGTGTGAGTTTGGGATTAAATACGCTCTTTTTTAAATTTTTGCTTATGCGTATCCAATTGTTCCTTCAACATTTGTTGAAAAGACTGTCCTTTCTCCACTGAATTGCCTTTGCATCTTTGTCAAAAATCAGTTGTCCACGTAGGTGTGGGTCTCTTTCTGGCCTCTGCATTCTGTTCCCCTGATCTATTTGTCTGCTTTGATTTCAATGCCACACTTTTGATTACTGTAGCTTTATACTAAGTCTTGAAATCAGGTAGAGTTATCCCACCGACACTGTTTTTGTTATTTTAAGTCCTTTGCATTTCCACACGAATTTTAGAATCAGCTAATCAATTCACGCACAAAGGCTCTGGGACTTTGATTGGGATTGCGAGCATCTATAGATCGTTGGGAAAGAATTGGCATCAGCCGTGTGAATCTCCTGAGCCATGAACAAGGTCTGTCTCCATTTGCTTGTCATCTTTGCTTTCTCTCCCTAGCGATGCTCTGTAGTTTTCAGCGTGCAGGTCTTTCATATTTTTTGTCAGATTTATCCTGAATTATTTAGTGTTTTTGATACCTTTGTAAATGTTTTTAAAATCTTTTGTTTCTGATGATTTCTTGGTAGCGTATAGAAATACAATTAACTTTTGTATATTGATCTTACATCCTGCAATCTTGCCAAACATACTAGTTTTAGCTGACTTTTTGTGCGTCCCATTAGGTTTTCTGCATGGACACTCATATTGCCTGGGAATAAGAACAATTTTAATTTTTCCCTTTCAATTTGGATTCCTTTTATTCTTTTTCTTTAATGATTATATTGGTTAAAAAATCCAGCACAATGTTGAAAAGAAAGTGGTGAGAGTAGACATCCTTTTCTTGTTTTTGATATTAGAGTGGGAAAAAATTTAGTTTCTTAAGTTAAGTAAAATGTTAGCTATAGATTTTTTTGTGTGGATACCACTTTCAGACTGAGGAAGTTCGCTTCTGTTCCTAGTTTGTTGAGTGTCTTTATCCAGATTGGTTGGATTTTATAAGGATGTTGGATTTTGTTAAATGCTTTTTCAACATCTATTAAGAGGATCATGTCGTTTTTCTTTTTTGATTGTTAACATGGTGATTTTCATTGATTTAAAAAAATTTTAATTATAGCAAAAATAACTGGCATAAAATTTACCATCTTAACCACTTTAAAGTGCTAAGTATATTAACACTGTTGTGCAATAGATCTTCAGAACATGCATTGATTTTTTTTTTCTTGCTGAGGAAGATTTGCCCTGAGCTAACACCTGTGCCAGTCTTCCTCTATTTTGTATGTGGGTTGTATGTATGTTGTATGTGGGTTGCAGCATGGCCACCAACAAGTGGTGTAGGTCCATGTCTGGGAACTGAACCCGGGCTGCGGAAGCAGAGCGCAGTGAACTTAACCACTAGGCAACAGGACCAGCCCCAGAACTTGCATTGATTTTTCAATGTTAAATCCACCCTGCATTCCTTGGAAAAATTCCACTTGACCACAGTATATTTTAATCTTTTTTATATATTGTTGGATTTGACTTGCTAAAATTTTGTTTAGAATTTTGCAGTTGTATTTTTGAAAGATATTGGTTTGTAGTTTTCTTTCTGGTCATTGTCTGGTTTTGGTATCACAGTGAAGCTGGCACCTAACAGTGAATGGGGGCATTCCCTCCTCTTCAGTTTTCTGGAAGAGTTTCTGTAGAATTGGTATTGTTTCTTCCCTTAACGTCTGGTAGAATTCACTAGTGAAGCCAGCAAGCCTGGAGTTCTCCTTGTGGGAAAGATTTAAACCACAAATTCTGTTTCTTTAATGGATAAAGAGCTATCAAGGTTATCTGTTTCTTCTTGACTAAGCTTGGGTAGCTTGTGTCTTTTAAGGTATTGGTCCATTTCAGATGAATTGTCAAATTAATAGGCACAAAGTGGCTCATAATATTCTCCTATTATCTTGTGATAATGTCACCTCCTTCATTCTTGACTTTATAATTTGTGTCTTCTTTCTCTTTTCCTGATCAAGCCAGCTAAGAAGTTGATGCATTTTATTGATCTCAAAGAACCAGCTTTTGGTTTCATTGATCTTTTTTCCATCGTTTTACCATTTTCTGTTTCATTGATTTCCACCCTAAACTTTATTATTTTATTTCTTCTTATTTTATGTTTAATTTGCTCTTATTGTTTTTTTACTGCTGTGTCTTCAAGTTAACTAATTTTTTCTTCTGCCATATTTAATATACCCTAAATCCTAACCTGAGTGTTTTTTTGTCTAAGACATTGTAGTTTTCATCTCTGGAAGTTCTATTTGAGTCTTTTGATATCTTTTATGCCTCTTCTTAACTTTCTGAACACACAGAATACAGTTATAACAATTATTTTGACTTCTTATTCTGCTAATATTAATATCTGTCTCAGTTCTTAGACTGCTTTGGTAGACTGACGATGCTCCTTCTCAGGAGCTGTGTTTTTCTGCTTCTTTGCATGCCTGGTAATCTTTGATGAGGTGCCAGAAATCACGACTTTTACCTTGTTGGATGGTGGCTGTTTTTCGTTCCTAGAAATCTCCCTGGGCTTTGTTCTGGGATGCTGTTACTGGAAAACAATCTGATCTTTTGGGTCTTACTGTTATCCCTTGTTCAGCGTAGCTGCAGCGGTTATGGTGAACTATTCCCCACTGCTGAGCAAGACCCTGTTGGGCACCCTACCCAATGCCGGGGGACTGTGATTCCTTTCAGTCTGGCGGGGGAAGATGCAATAGTCCCAGCGCTGGCTGAGTGTTGGACACTGTTCTCCAATCTTTTCAGATTATTTTTCCCCGGACTCCAGTGTTTCTTCACACGAATTCATTGATGGCACTCTCCTGAATATCAGGAGGGGATCCCTGGCAGATCTTTGGGGTTCTGTCTCTGTACAACTCTTCTTCTTTGTTATTCTTTGCCGTGAACTCTAGCCCACCTGGTCCTCCCAACTCTCATCTTCATCTCCTCACTCAGATTTTCTTCCCTGCACCACAGCCTGGAAACTCTCTTAAGGCAGCACATGGGGAAATCACGGGGCTCCCCTCCCGCGTTCCTCGTCTCTCAAATTTGTTGTCAAATGTCTTGAAAACTCCTGTTTCTTATATTTTGTCTGTTTCTTTTTGTTTGTTTGTTTCAGACAAGAGGGTAAACCCAATCCCTGTAGCTGGCATCAGTTTCTTAGCATGGAGATCTGACCTCTGAAAACTTGGCAGAACAACCCACTTCGGACGGAAGGAAGAACAGGCACTCTAGCGAAGTTTTTCTGAGAAGAAGAAAATGCCCTGCTCTGTGTCCACCTCACCAACTTCTCTTGAGCCCTTGGAGAGGGCAGGAAACAGACCTCCGTGTCTCCCAGGCTTCTACTGTAATGAGAGAATAGAAATTAGAGGAGAAGGTGGGAGCTCTGATGGCCACGGACCAAGTGAGATGACGTTCAGACGGAGAGGAATTGGGGGCAAAGATCGCTTTAAGACAAAGGGAAGCATGGCTATCCCTCTCTGTGGATTTATCAGGGATGGAAAGGGGCTGGCATAAAGATGAACATCTCCCTTCGAAAACCTATAACTCCATGCTCCACATTATCTAATAGGAGACCAGTACACTGGCAGACGCCACCAGCAACAGATGGAAACAGATCAAGCCAATGTGACAACAGGGACTTTTCCACCAGTGACAAGCAGCCGCTTATTTAAGGTGACCTCTGTTATCCCCCTTTTTCCCCCTTCTTCCCTCAGTTGAGAGGCACGAGACCCAGAAAAGAAAGGAGGAGGAGTGAAAGACAATCTCAAGCCCCCTTCCCACTCTTGGAACTTGAGTTACAAGTCTGGCAAACTCTGAAGGGAGGAGAACAATAGGATATTATATTGAAGGTGTGAACTGGACCGGACTGGACTTTGAGTAACTGATATTGATAGGAAAATGATGAGATCTGCCTGGAGATGTATATCATTAGGAAATGAGACTGAGCAACTGGGTAGAGCACGGTCAACTGCAGTGAATGGAGAGAATGAGCTGATCTTTCTTTATATCCCAATGAATTGAGGATTCTCAATAAACTGGTTACATCTGATCTGCTAACAATAGCTACCAAATATTGAGACAGGCACTGTGCCGAGCGCTGTACGTATGTTACTTCCTTTACCCTTCATAACCTATAAGGTCATTACTATTTTATTTCCTCCATTTCGCAGTTGATGTAAACTGAGGCACAGTTGACTTGCCTAAATATAGTGTGTAGAAATTTTGGATCTGAAACACTGACTGCAGTAATTTCACGTGCATCACTCCCGTCTTGGGAAAACCCCTTCTACTTAACTTCATTGCTCTTACTCATGATATTTTCCCAAACATTTTGCCTGTGTTCAGAGTCCTTTCCATTTCCCCAGGCTATTTTCTGTCCAGCCATCTCCTAGTGAGACCTGGACAGCTTAGCTGCTGGGGGGAAAGTAAACGAGGTAAGGGGACATTATGGGAAAGCTTTAATTTTAAGCAGATGAAATGTAGGATCAGGGCTTACAGAACCACGTGCCAGTGAGAGGCAGCAAACAGGTGAGTGGCCTTGGACAAGTCACTAACCTCTCTGCGCTTCAGGCTCCTTATGTGTAAAATGGGGACAGCAATGTCTTAGTCCGTTTGAGCTGCTATAACAAAATAACACACATTGGGAAGCTTATAAACAACAGAAATTTATTTCTCAAAGTTCTGGAGGCTGGAAGTCTGAGATCAGGTGCCAGCATGGCCGGGCGAGGGCCCTCTTCCAGGTCACAGGCCTCGTTGTATCCTCACATGGCAGGAGGCACCTTTATAAGTGCACTCATCTGGCCTGGGAGCACGAATCCCGCTTCTAAGGGCTCCACCCTCGCGACCTAATCACTTCCCAAAGGCCCCACCCCGTGATACCATCACCTTCGGGGGGTTAGGATTTCAGCATGCGAATTTGGGGAGGGCACAGACACTCAGAGCAGAGCGGTCATAGTACCTGTTTCACAGGGCCGTGTGAAGAACAGCTGGCGGGTATAGGTAAAGCTCTTGATCAGGATCTGGCACGTGGTCTGCTCTGTCTGAGGGGTAACCTTTATCATCTGCCCTCTATGTGGGGTAAGCTCCTTTCACTGCAAAAAAAATGAATGAACCCAGACATATGTATTCCTTTTTTCCCCACGTCTTCGCTGTCTCCTTCCTCATTACCCTATCTCCATCACCACCCCAAGAAACATATCTTTACTTAGCAGAACCACTTTCCTCACTCCCAAGGGAAAGAAGGGAATTTTTTTGCTATTCCTGGAAAGAACCCACATTTGACACTGGATTTCTGCCCAGATTTTCTAAGTACACCTCTGGTTACATTGCCGGAGGGTGTCGGAGTGAACCGTCAAGCCCAGCTCTGTCTGACGGCTGGTTACCTGGATGAGAAATCCTAGAGGCCTGTTCTGCAGTGAGCTTCGTGGGCATGTCGGGTCCCTGCAGTATCTTCTTTGTGCTCCAGGTGGCAGGTGCCACACCTGAAAGGCAGGTAAGGCAGCTGCGGCACTGGTTCTGCTGCTGGCCACAGAATCACCTGGGAGATTTCTAACAGCACAGATGCCCAGGCCCTGCCCTGAGATCCTGACGGCCTGGGTTTGGTGTGGGGCCCAGGCATCCGCGTTTTTAACAAGCTCTTCAGGTAATTATGGTTCAGCTTGTTGCAGGGGCCTGCATTTGGAAACCACTCTTTTAGAGTATTCCAGAGAACAGCAGGTGCACACAAGCACGCAGTGTGTAACTGTGCGGCACAGATCCCCTCCCTGGGCTCCTGGAACTCAGAGAGGGAGAGATTTCACAGCACGTCATAGTCAACAGTGACCTTCCGGCTCACTGATGAAGCACTCGCATAAGGAGACGGAGGCCAGGAGGACTAGGCCGCGGTCAGAGCCTTGCCCTGCGCAGCTCCCCGTGGTCACAATGCCGTCACTTCCCCACCAGCCCACGGCTCTGAGAATACTTTCCTGGAAGCCACAGGAAGGACCCTCCTCCCTGAGTCAGTGCCTTTAGCTGCTGTTGGAATAACTCCAAGGCCCAAATAATCCAAAACTGTGTGGAACATGTTTTTGCCTGAATCAGGATTCACACCCTGGCAGCCTGGCTCCAGAGACCATGTCCTTAACTGCACTGCGATGCTGCCCCCGTGCCACCGCCCAGTCTCCTGTGCCTTCCCGCTCCGTGCCACCCTCTGCTCCTGCTCTTGGCTTCTCACTGCCCTCTGGCAAATCAAAACTTCTCTGGGCCTCAGTTTCCTCCTCTGGGAGACAGGGATCATGATTGCGTGAGAAAATGTAGACACTGCTGTGTGTAATTGTAGAAAAGGATTGGAGCTTATCTTTCCTCTCTACCCTCTCTGACTTTCAACACTTTTAAGCTGGACTCCATTTCCACAGAGGCCGAGGACTCGGAAAATCTGTAGCCTAAACCCCTGACAACCGGGCCTGGAAGCCGAGTTACTGTGAGAGGGGGCTTGGGTCTCGGTGTCCTCGCTTCCACAGCCCTGTCCTTTCCCCCAGATCACAAGCACTTGGCCCTGCAGCCCTCCACAGAGGCTCTTACTGTTATTACTTTAAATATTCCTGACCACCCGCTGGTCACCCCGACCCCTCTCCCTGTTTTCCTTCCATTCACATTTAGCGGGTACCTGTTTTATTTGGGGCCCTGTGTTAGGGTGCTGTCAGAGAACCTTATCCATAAATAAGTGTTTGATGGGGGTTTACTTATTTACATCTAATCACATATTTAGCCATAAGCACTTGCTTTGTGCAAAATTCTTTTCAGGGAAGCTGTGAGAGATCCAAGAGAAGCAGGCAAGGCTGTGATCCCCAGTGCCCTCGGGCAGGTGGCAGAGTTTTGGAGGGAGAGAGTGCACACACACGTGGACACAGACACATACAGACACTCGCAGATACACTCCCCACCCCCCTCCTCCCCCAAGGATGCTAAGCACCAGCAGAAGGCGGAGGGCTGTGAGCACTGCTGAGCGCAGGACGGTGGCAGGAGAACAGTTGGGTTTGGGGTTGGAGGCTGAGAAATCAGACCTTGGCTTCTGTTCCCCTCTCCACCCCCCCTGAGGTGCTGCTCTCTCAGCCTGACCCCTGACTCTCTTTCTCTTTTAACCCCTCATGTGCCAAGTTCCTCAGGCCTCCATCTCGGACCCTCTCCTCTCCTCACTCTGCGTGGGCCTCATGAGGTATCATCTGTTTCCCTACTTTGATGGCTTCTAACTGCATCTCCAGAGGGAAGTGCCTCTACGAATTTTAGACCCTCGCATCCAGCTGCCTCCTGAGCATCTCTAACCAGATGGCTCGAATGCCACTTGCCCCAGACCACTCATTTCCCTGCCTCCTGGCTTTCCCTCTTTGAACTCAGTTGCTCGGTCAGAACCCTGGAAGTCGCTCTCGACTCCTCCGTCTCCCTTGCTCCTGCAACATCCCAGTAATCACAACATTCTTCGAATCAGAGAATCTTAGAGCTCCAACTGTCCCTGTCACAGATTCTTTTCTCTCCAACCCATCATTTTTGCTTCGGGGATGATCCAGACTTGCCTGGATTGTTATAACACCTTTTACCCAACTGGTCTGCCAATCTTTGGTCCTGCCCACTGTGCATTCCTCCACACTAGATCCAGAGGAAACTCCTTAAACAAAACAACCAAATAAAACCCCTCCATCACTCACAGCCCCGAATGCCCCCTCTGACCACAGGGTAAGCTTCGTGCTCCTGACAGTGGCCTCTGTCACCTGTGTCATGAGTTCAGTTGTGGCCCCTGAAGAGCTGTTTTGAGATCCTGACCCCTGGTGCCTCAGAATGCCAGCTTACTTTGGAACGGGCTTGTTAGAATGTAATTAGATAAGTTAAGATGAGGTCATCCTGGAGGAGGACGGGCTCTTAATCCAACGTGACAGGTGTCCTTATAAAAAGGAGAAATTTGGACACAGACAAGACATGGAGGGCGGACAGCCGTGTGAAGACCGAGGCAGAGATGGGCGTTATGCTGCCATGGGCCAAGGGACACCTGGGCCTGATGCCAGACGCTGGAGAAGCCCAGGAAGGACCCTCCCCTGGAGGCTTTGGAGGGAGCCTGGCCCCGCCCACACCTCGATTTTGGATTTCCAGCCTCCAGATTTGTAAGACCACCAATTGCTCTTGTCTTAATCACCCAGTCTGTGGTACTTTGTTATGGCGGCTCTAGCAGACTAGTACTAGCTCCATGATCCGAATACCGTCTACCAGACATCAACTCTCTAGCCACATCTGCGGTCACGCGCCTCCATCCACCTGACTACCCCAGCCACACTGGATTGTTGACAGCTCTCTAAACGCACCAGCCCCGTGCACATCTTCGCTCATGCTGGTCCTTCTGCATGAAGGCTCTTCCTCTTCCCCAGCCAGCCACCGCTTCTCCTCCATGGCCCTCCCCTCTGCTCCTGCAGCACCTCACAACCACTCTCGGGTTCTCATTTGGTCCCAGGCTCCCTGGGAGCAGGGACTCAGATTCTCCCTTTTCTTTCTCCCCAGTGCCTCGCACTGCGTCTGCCGCAGCCTAAGGCTACAAGAATTTGTTTGAGTATGGTCACATGTTCTCCCAGAGTTTATGAGGTTGGTGGGCAGCGGGATTCAAAACACTCCTTCCTCGCTCCTCGCTGGGCTGCCAGAGCGCGTGCTGCCCTGATTTCACCCGCCCCTAAGAGCTACTCAACCACAGGGCATGAATTCCAAGAAGCCTCCTGGAAACTTCTGCAGCCTGCTCCCCACACTGTCACCGGGGCTCTCCAGCAGGCCTGAGGGAGGGGGCCCCATGGTCCTTTGAGGCCAACACCTAATCGCTGTCCCTCTTCAAATGAAAAATGGGGAAAACACCAGCTAACTGTTGTTTAGTGACCCCAACCCCCACCTCTTTAAAATAAACACTCTTTTCAATTAGGAAGATTTGTCCCTGGGGACAGTAATTCCGTGTCCTACCAAAACAAACACAGTTGTAATTAGTTTTATCCAGGAAGAAAATTAACTCTGTTTATCTTAGCCTAATTAATCATTGACCCTTTC